ACCCTACTTTTCGTAATTCCCAACCAGAGTCGCCAGTTCTGTGATACGGTGGCAGAACCGACTGTTAATACTGGTTTGTGTTTTTTGTTCGCAAAATGTCACGGTAAGCAAAAGTCGCCACCGACTTTTATTTTATCCAATCAGGAAAAGGAAAAAGAACAGAAAAAACCTTTTTCAAGATGTTTTTTAGTACCGGGGGGGGGGGGGGTAGATTATAGAAAGTGAAGGTGTTAGCACCCCTTCTATCCGTGGTTTTCCACGGGATCTTAGGTACTTGCTCATTTTGAAAATTGCTTGTGTGTGCTTGCTTTGAAAAGTTTTGTATTACTCTGTGTTAACTCTTGTTTATGTCCTCAAGAGTGTTGCGAAGTTGTTTTTGAAAACTTTGTTTGGGAAAGTGTTGGTGTGAAAAAGTTTTTGTTTGTTTGAGCAAGTACTTAGGAGTTTTCTACCTACTCGAAAAAAGTCTGTTCATTTTCCTTTTAGACAATGCTATCCCATTATTGAGAAATAGGTAACATCGTCATTGGAGTTTTTTAGGGACATTCGAAGGGACGGAATGGTCACTGAAGGCAACAAGTAAGGATACCTTAGCGTTTCGAAGGGACTATCATCATAAGATCAATTCGTAGGCAACTCGAGGGACAAGTAGGGACTGTGATCTTTATAACGACTTTGAATCGCGGGCCATAGCTAAGGTATCCCTACGTTCGAGGGACACGACCATTATTTTTGAGGCAACCAAGTGAGGAAAACCCTAGGAGTGAGCATGTGCATGTGTTTGATTTCATTTATTTAATCTTTGCACAATTAAGGTGATCTACTGCTTTAATTGTATTTGTCTTTTGCATGCAAGCCTATTATCGATACATCTAGACAGTTCATGGTTGCAGAAATTAAAAGCGGGAAAGTAAATCTACGCTATTACAAGGCTTCGGGGAGGGGGTTACATGACCAAAAACCGGGGATTAAACAGTAAATAATATGCAGTAAACCCTAATTAAAAAACTATTACAAACTCGAAGCAAATATAATAATTGGAAAATAAAATATTGCGCGCGAGAATTACGTACGGGAATCAAAGTTTAAATTCTAAAATCTAATCAATTAAAGAGAAAATATTTTTTTGTATTTTATTGTTGAGAAAAATATTTGAAATCTTAACCTAAATCTAATTAATTAAAGAAAAATATTTTTTGTTATTTTATTGAGAAAATTAAATATTTGTGAATTAAACCTAATTTGTATAATTAATTTTAATTATGAAAACAATCAAGTCAATATCATTAAATTAATTATTTTCCAAAAAAATACTAATTTTAATTAAAAAACCTAATTCTACATTTTTGTGGTTTTCTTAATTTTATGATTAAATAAATAAATAAAATGATTTTTTTTGTTGTTTTGTAAAAAGAAATTAATCAAATAAAACAAAAGAAAATAAAGAAAGAAAGTAATTGGGCATGTGGTGAAAGCAGATTAGGGGGTGTGGAATGGAATTGTTAAGCCCATAATTATAGGCCCATTTGCCCACGTGGGGATTTAGTGCAGTTGGCCTTCAGGAGGTCCACCACGCGCCTGCATGCTTGAGGCGTTAGATCTGGCCAGGACATGATCTGATGGCATGGATTTGAGGATGCATGATGGCCCTTTTGAAGGTGAAGCTTGCTGGATCTAGGACAAAGAAATTGGAAAATATGAAAACGTGAGATTCTGGGATCGAACCCAGAATCCTTTGCTTCACCGCTTGCGCCTTTTCCATATGTGTTGGGATGGTTAGTTGTAAATATAATAACATAAATAAAATATAAAGGAAATAAAGTGGTATTTCCCAAACGCGCGCTTGATTCAAATCATCCAATGGGATTCTGCCACCTAATTGTCTTCTTCCCCATAATTGTTGTTTTTTGCCACATTTTTACCTACAATCGTTTCTGTCACTAAAAGCTATAGTGACGGATTTTGTTTGTAGCCATAAACCTGTAAAATTCAAAAATGCAGCACAAGTAGAAAAATTCAAACCAAATACATGGATCAATTGCAAATCATCTTCTAAGCATGATAGTACCCCTGATTTTGTCCAATTGTGCCTCTATATGGAATTCCCAATTTGGGACCTCAAAACCCTAACAATGGCATCGTGCATTCCTGCACTTAAACTTCAATCAAACCAATCAAAAACATTACAAATATGATAGTAATCATGGATATATGATCAAAACATGTTTATGATGGATAAATTATTGAAAACGAATCTTAAAAAAAGATGCAAACCGTGGCACTGTGAGGTGTGAGTTCTGAAGGTTTTAAGGATGGAGGACGATTGGAATAGCTTCAAGAAATGTCCAGGAACGGATTGTTGGCCTTGGAATTACTGGAATCAGTCTATGGAGGAATATGTGATCAGCACTTTTTTTGACAAAAAATTGAAGTTGACCTCCTTGTTTTCACGACCCAAAAACCTCCCTTATGCTTTGGAAATGTGTATATATCATAGAATGATTTAGGTCAACAAAAACTGATCATATCTTTGCAAATTATGGAGATTTGATTTCATTCTTTGCCTTGTATGATTTGTTTCCAAAATAGACCAAATTAAGATCTTTTCCAATCAATTAGCTCTTGCACGAATTTTTTGATTTGCTATCCGTTCATGGACTCATAATATACTCATAAAATCAAATCTTTGATTTTATTTGATTATTCTACTATTTAAATTGATTTATTTTTATTTAAATGGATAAAAAAATCAAAATAAATAATAAAAATAATAAAATAATAGATGGATAAGCTCAGGGGTCGTGGGCCATCTTAGGAACACGTTTCAAACAAGAAAACATGGGCCCACTTGGAAAAAAAAGTCATTTTGATCAATGTTGACTTCATGCACATTTCTAAAAATTGGTCAATTTTGACAATACATATCTCCCTCAATTTTAACCCTAAGAGGGTGTTCTTGGACTTTTTAGAAAGCTTAGGATGTTCTCTCAACAACCCTTTTGGTTTAATCTCAGTTGGATCTATAATGTAGAAATTCATATCTTTTTATGGGTGCATTTTTTGAACTTGAGGGATGAAAATGAGTTGTAGGAAATTGGATTCCCTTCAAAATGAGTCTTGGATGAGAAACTTCTGATAAAGTATGAGAGAGTTATGCTTAGTCAAAGTTTGATTGACTTTTCCTGAGAAACCCTAATTTAGAAACTTTTGGGTTTTGATGAATTAGGAGCATTCCTTGAGGAATCATGATCAACCCTTGATCAAATGATGGATATCACTTCGAAGTGTTGATGTTGACCAAAAATCTTGAGGTTTGATTGTATGTGGGTCACAGTTGACTTTTGACCTAGTATAGTTGATTTTTAGGCATTTGAGCAGTTGGCTGAGCAAACTTCTTGTGCAAGGCATGAAACTTGACATGGGTGATCTTGAGAACATATTGGGACCATGGAAGGCATTTGGGACCTTTGGAGTTCAACCATCCTGATGAAAATGGAAACCCTAGTTTGAGGTACATTGCCTTAGGAGAGAGGTCAACTCTTAGGCATCCTTGAGCAATTTGGGGATCTCAATGGGCATGTATTGAGTACAATGAGAGAGTAAATTTTGGGGTACAACAGTTTGTTTGTGATGTTATGGTTATCAGGAGGGGTATTATCTATGGCTAGCCAGGGTTCTAACGATTGTTCTTCATCAAAGGAGACTCAATTGTCACTCGAATCTCAAGACATGTGGTCATGGTTTTCATGCAAGAGAGGGAGAGGGTTTCATTTGGTTTTTCTTCACTAATTAGGGTTTTAATCACTGTCAGGTGGAACAAGTCAGAGATTGGACCGTCTTTTATTAAGACATCGGGAGAGGGTTGACTAAGATTTGTTCATTCTCCATTAATACTCGACCATGGTTACATTGTTGGAAGCATACATGCGACTTTGTGGAATTATTAAGGCATTAAAGAAGGAAAATTGAATTTCAAATTTGAAAAGGAGGGAAACCTTTTATTCCATATTACTTGGTTGACAAAGTCAGCACCAAAATCAGAAGTTAATTCAAAGTTGCAAGTGCAATAACCTATTACAAAAATACTGGAAGGAATGATCTGACTTTATTCAAACTTTGTTCATTACAAGGATAGAAGTCATTGCACTTCCATACATTTGCCATTTACTTTAATACCATTACATTGGAAAGTTACAGAAAATTCTATTGTTGACATGGAACAAATCTTGATCTAATACCTAAAAAAAACTCATCCTTCAACATCCCTCTAAGTCGTCATTGATTTAACTCCATTTGTCTCCATGTTCCTACAATTCTTCCAAATTCTTCTTCACTTACAAGCAACCTTGCAGCCAAATTCCTTCAATTAACCTCATCACCTGAACTGCATCACATACAACAACAAAAAATCATTCACACAAAAGCAGCCCTGCAATTAACCAATCCAGCAGTATGGATTCAATCAGAACAAGTTCAGTTACAAGCAGAAAATCGGTGGAAAAATAACTTAACAAAACTCTAACAAATTCCAGCAAAATTTCCAGCAAAAAACAACAAAGTTGTAACAACTCCTCTAATTCCAGCCAATTCAAATCAGCGCTGCTAAACGAAAACCAAACAGAACTAACCAACTGCCAGTTTCCTAGTTGTCCTCTAATCTCTCATCCTATAACCATATTCTAACCTCCTAACTGTCATAACCCCTCTCACCCTTCTAGTTGCTTTTCCTAATATCCCTAACAGTTTCCAACTATTCCATAACAGCCCATTAATTGTCCTAACAGAATTCTAACTCCCTCTAACAAATAACCCCAACCACCTAACCAAATTAGCTACCTACCAGCTCATTCAAATAGAAAACAAAATTGTTTCCAACCATTCTAATAACCCCCTAACTGTTTCTAACTGATTTTCAAAACCAACGTAAAAAACTCACAAACTAACAGCCCATAACAAAAACTTCTAACTGCATCTAAAACCTCTAACCAACTCTCAATCCAACCCTCCATCTCATAACTGAATTTCTCAATCCAAAGGCTCAGATTACTCCTCGTTCAACTTCTTCTCAAACTTCAACAATCTATATAAACCTCCAAGCTGTTTTATCAAAGCTCCAACAAAAACAACAAAAATGGAAAAAAGAGAGGGAGGATATCATTATTCAAATTCACGATTTCAGAGAAGAAAATAAACAGAAATCCTGGCGTTCTTTCTCACAATACAATTATACAGACAAAAAGAAAATCACAGGGGAAACTCACCAAAAATATTTCTTTAAAATCTCGATTCTCTCTCTGAACTCTTCCACCACCTTCATCCTCAACCTTCTCACACATATACCTTCTTCTCCTCATCTCTCAACCCTCTCTATCTCGGTGCTTCATTTCAACACATCACCTTCACCTCACGAAACCTCACTACTCACTAAGCCTTCTCTGAAATTCCTTCATAACCGAATTTCATCATCTTCGTCATTGGTCCTTTAGTGTCAAATCACTCTAGCATCTGTCTTCTACACAAGGATTTCAATCTCCAAAGACCGTGTTCAATAACAACCATCGCTCATCATCTTCAGAGCGACACTTCCTTGTATTTATAGCTTTCATCACGACAAACATGAACCCTTCAATCACTTCTATTATCTTTAAGCCCCTGCACAGATCAACAACATCACAGCAAGAATAAAAACGCAGTGAATTTAGAGCAGGAGGAAGAATAAAAGGAATTAAAATATTCGTACATGTAATGTGCATACGGATTTATCGCTGGCTCTTCATCATCTTTGCGGAGTTGAAGAAATGTCGGTTTTGCTCCGGTCGGTGAGTCGTAATTATGTCTTTCCTGTTCTTCGTGATAACACGATCAGCGAGGAATCACTTTCATCATCGTCACACTGGTCCAATCCCTGGATTGTGTTTGAGATCCACATCGAGAGCGGAAAGAAACAGAGAGGAGAAGAAGGAGATCAGAACTGAGGTGAGAAGAGTGCGATTTGGGGATATAATTCGAGACAAAAAGCAGCGGCGTTCTGTTTGATTTTGATCGGAGAAGGATAAGTGAGGCGCAACACAGATTGAGGAAGAAGAGAGGAAATTTACCAATCGTGAACCCTAGTTGTCTCCTTGAAACGCACCGTATCCATCCCTTTCATTTTTTGTTTTTTTTAGTTTTTTTTAACTAATTGAAAAGTATATGTGTTGATTGAATAAATGGTAAGAATAATAAAATGTCGATAGCGTTATTAGATTATACTGGATCCACTGAACTGGGTCGGTCATGGGCTGGAGGGCATTTCTTGTGACAAATTTTTTGGGTTGCTAGTAAAAAGCTAGGAATGAATTAAACTTGATGGGCTTAGCCATTGTTACTGATCCATACCCATCAAATCCTGATTTTACACCCCTTATTCATAGTCTTTAGGTTATTCTTTAATTCTCTTTTATCAATTTTTTGCTAATAAAATTAGGGAATTTTAGGAGATAATAGAAAATTTTAATTAGTAATATATTATATTATAATATTATTTGATTTCTTTTTTATATTTCTTGTGTGAAAAATCCTAGAAAATAGTAGAATGTTTTAGATTTCTCTTTAGAATTTTATTAAATTTTTCTATTATTTTATGTTTAATTATCATTTTCATTGTCATTTTTAGCTAAGATTTTGTGATAGAATATTGATGTAACTCTCGCAATGTGGAATCCTTGGGGATTAATTCGTTCTATCGCATGTGTGAAGCAGCTTCTGTAGAGTTTTCTCTTTGCTTGCATGGTTTTGAAGAGGCAACGGACCTTCTCCGTTAGGTATCATCGTAGCTTCACTTTTATTCCTCATTTCTTCACTTTACCGCTTTTCTAGATATCATAAGAAGTATGACTTTACTGCTTTCTGATGCCATGAGAATTATGATAGAGATGTATGACGGGGGTCTCTGTTGCTGGTCATGTCTGGAACCCCTCTGGTTTATTTAAAGACCCGTTTATCGTAATTCTGCATTGTGTGCATTATGGTTTCTACTTATGTGCGGTTTGTTTAAAACCCTACCTTTGAGTAGGTATTCTGCAGGTGTGTTTATATTTGTTCCCACATTATTCCCCCATCCCTTATTGAAGTCCCCAAAAGGAGGCGAGCAGGGAGGGTTAGCAATCGACCCCCGTAATTTTGTATGTGTCATCCTTAGCTTGTGACGCACCACGAAGCTTCGAAGTTATGCCTTCTCTTATGTATCGAGTCATCAAGTGGGGAAGGATTCTGCAATCGAACCCCCACGCTTTGTCAGGCATTCGCATTGGCCGATGATGATACTCCATGATCATTCATATTGTCTTCTATCTCCTACCTCGATCTCCTCTATCTTGGTTAGGTGTTCAGTCGCTTTAGACATCACATTTTTGTTTCTTCATCTCACTCCCACTTGTTTGTCTCGGGTGATACGCTCCCCTTGGCTAAAGCATTTCTCTTCTTTTCCTTACTCTTTTATGTGTGTGCTCTTTCGAGCCTGCCTGCTTGCTCCGTTCAGATGCGAGTTAGACCTTAGGTTGCAAGCTATACATTCTAACATTAGGTAGACGTTTCCCTTTTGATTATCCAAACTTTAGGGCTACCATTATATGATAACATTAGGATTAGAAATAGGCTAGTCCCCTGTAGACTCTTTTCTTCCCCTTTTGCATATGCATTTAAAACTAAAACTTTCTTCTTAGTAAATCAGAACATGCTAATAACACTTAAACCCTTTTTCAAGGTAATAAAATACAAACCAACTCAAACCTTTTTGTGCTCCCAAGCACCTTTCATCTAAAACCCTTTTCAGGTAAGGACATGATTAGTTTACTTCTGTGCCAACGCATAAGTCTCCAAAGGTCGAGCTGCGGCTGAAGGTGGAATTAACATTGTCCATAAAAAACACAAAACAAACAAAAACATGTTAGCCGAACTACGGTAGCTCTGATTCCTCAAAAAGTATATGTAGGCATTGGGGTAGGGCCCAAGCGAGTACAACTTTATTTTTCCATACATTCTTTTCTCCTTTCTTTTGCATGCATTCTTCCTCAGTAATAAATAGTAAGCATAGATTAAACACACCCATAAGATAGATAACAAGAGTAGATACCACAGAGTACTACGGGTGTGTGGGGTGCTAATACCTTCCCCTCGTGTAACAGACTCCCTTACCCGGTCTCTCAGTCTCAAGACCGCGACTTCTCCCTTCTCAGGTTTTCTCGATGTTTACCTTTCCCTTCATGTGGGATAAAAGACGTTTCATGGCAACTTCATTGTTTGATGATTTTCAGTTGGTTGTTTCAATACCTTCTCCATTGGGAGCGGGTTATAGGGTTCTTTCCTTTGTAATTGTTTGACACGTGTGCAACCCTATTTGTTGTTGTTGACTGAAATTCCTTTTTGTAGGCCAAAGATCCTCTTGGAATATCGAACATCTGTCATTTTCCCTCGTTGGGCCTTTTTCTATTTGCTGTCTTCAACCAAGTGTCCACAAGAACATTTGTTTGAGGATTGAAGGTTGATGGCCTATTCACCTGGTTTACTGGCCCCTTTTGGTATCCTCTTCTAGGGTCATACCTTACTTCAGGGTCCATGTTAGACTAGGCAATGTTACCCCCATTTTTTCATTGCTGCACACACACCTTGTATGTGTTCAGCATCTTTTTTGTTGAAGAAAGAAATGCATCTGGGACACAGCATAACTTCTGACTTCTTTTTCTGGCATCTGTGTAGAAAATCTGCCAGATTTTCGTTTTTCTTAGGAAATGCAAGCTTGTCGATTTCCTCTTGTCTGATGTTGTCTTCTGAATTTGCAGCTTTAGGTTCAGACACTTCAACCTTATTTATTTCCACGTTGCTCTTTCTAGCTATACTTAGCTTCTGCATCTTCGCCCCTAGGCTTTCTGTCGAACCTGTGACAGCAGCCAAGTAGCAACCTTTAGCAGTTCCTTTGTTTGAACCTTCAGTGGCTCCCTTGTTTAAGCCTTCAGTAGCCTTTTTTTGTACCTCTTCGACAGCTTTAATGCTAACGTCCTCAGTGAAACTGCCAAAAACAGGTTTGTTGATGAAGTTTTCTGAGACTTCGACCTTATTGATGCATGAAGGTTCAGCATAATGGGCATATTCCTGCAACGGGTTTGCATCAATCTTCATGGGTGGTTTGTCAGCAAACTTGAGTCTGCCATCTTTTATTGCGCCTTGAACAAGATCCCTGAAAATAAAACATTATGAGGTTTTATGGCCCAAAAAATTATGATATATACAAAAACCTCTCTTTTTTCGTTGATGGCATAGGTTCACTAACTGCTGGTATAATCGTGGTTCCATTATCGGGAATTGGCGGAGGCATTTCTCCACTACCTGGCTGATTAGCCATTCTCCTATTTCTTCTCCTAGGTATGTACTCTTTGGTGGTTGTTTTACCACTTCTCAATAACATACAACACTCTTTGAGAGAAAGGAAATTACGTAAAACATTTATGATAAAAACTGTTTTTATCAAAGTTTGTAAAAAAAATAAAAACTTAGCAACGTCCCACTGGGCGTGCCAATTTGTTTACCGTGAAAATTGGTAAACAACCACTGATCTTCCAAAAAGGTTATTTTGGTTACTTGCAGGATCGATCAGTTTGATTCTAGGACATATGCTAAGTGTTTTTGGGGTTTGATAAGAAGTCTTAACGTTGTTCATGAACAGGTTCGACAAGATACTAAGAATAAAGGCATGATGAAGGTAAAAACTTGATAAAAACGCAAGTAAAGTGCAGGATAAAGTAAATTTACAGTAATTTAAAAGGTTGTGATGATAAAGTTTGCAGAGAAATGTTAAATGGCAAGGATTGTAAGAAATATGAATAATTTGATTGCAATAAATTATGGTGATTCAAACATACATTCTCAACATTCTTTCTCTCACAGTGGGTACTTGAATAAAATTGAGTGACTTGTACAATGAGTTAAACACACGAAATTCTACACAAATTTACTATATTTATACTAGTAATAAGTAACTGTCGAACGGTTGCTTCATTCCAGGATAAGGACAAGTGTCCTCTTCATGCTCTTCGACCTCTATCTTCACGCCATGTTGCTTTTCCTAACTGCCAAATAAACATCCTTTCTTCAAATTCAAATCCACTTGCTGCTGATACAAGAGCCTCTCGGTCGAAGAGTGCCCTTAACTTAGAAAATTCTCTAAGTGTTTTCTCCTTCTTAACAAGGATAACTTCGACACAACACCTTTCATAGGCTCTTCTGTCGAAGTGTCTTCAGCTTAGATTTCTTTAATATATTTTTAGAAAATAAGGCCAATATGTGTGAGTGTCAAATTTAGGAGCTAACATGCTTGTCTCAAGATTTCAAAGTTGGAGAAACTTACCTCTTGCAGTGAGAATCGAGTTTGAAGTTAGAGCACTTCTGGATTTGTTAAGATGATCTAGATAGATTCACTGAACTCCCATGAAGCTTTTGCAACGCCTACCTTGGATTGAGAGTGCCTCAACTCTTCTGGACAAATCAAGTTGCAGAGATGTTTTGGCTTGGTGTGGATGAAGTGTTTAGGATTTTTCAGTGACAAACTAATGCATACAGAAGCTTAGGTATGTTGTGGAGATGGTGTTTGAATACTTAGTTCACAAGAAACTTGTTGGGAATGGGAGATTCAAAGAATTGGGTCTCAAGCTTTAATAGAGTTCTTGAAATGCCAATTCTGAATACAAGAGTGTTTAGAAGTGATTAAGGTTGTCCCTCCATCCTTTGGCTTGAAAATGACATCTCTATTTATAGGAAAAAGGTTGAGGGCAGGGGTTGATCAGGTTTTAGCCTTAAGGTCTTGAGACTTGGTTGAAATGTAAGTGAGAAAGTTACATGAAGATCATGGTTCCAATGCATCAATAGGGTGGTTGGTAGGCTTAAAGATGTTGCTTCTGAGCATTCATGTTGAGTTTGATCATAAGAAATAAGTTAGAGGCTCAAGGAGTGGACTTTGTGATTAAAGTGGTCTTTATGCAAATGGATATGGAGCTTTTTGCAATTTCATCCAAAAAGGGTATGATTGAGTGGATAAAGCTTCAAATCCTTGTGTAATGCACCATAATTTTGTGTAAATCTATGATTATGTAGAGATTTGGAAGCAACATGGCCTGAAAA